AGGATACATGATCCTTTAATTGGTATCGAACCTCCATCGAATCTTTAATTGTATGTTATGTTAATTATAAATATATGTATGAATTATTATTTTCTAATTATAAATCTAAGATTTTTATTATTTTATAAAGTTTTGAAATTTATTTTTAGGTTAAGAAGAAGTGGGCGCGTGCAAGGCCAACGAGCAAGACAGTGCGCATAAGCATGCCAAGTAGTAAGGATAGGCACATGTAAACATACCAAGCCAATGTTAGGCATCGGCTCGTGGGTAGTTAGGCCGGTGCTAGGCACTCGTCCAATTGGCTAACCAAGGTCAATGCCAAGCTAGGCCGGCTCGAGCAAGCCGTGCCAATGGTCGTTGCCGGCCGGTGCTAGGCATTGGCCGGCTAGGGCATGCTAGCCTACGGGCTATCGAGGCCTATAAGCCCAAGCCCTAAAATTCTAAAAATTAAAATTTAGGAAATTTTAACGTTTTATAAAATAACCAAAATCATAGATTTATAATTATGATTAATGTGAAATTTATTTCATTTAAATGCCATTTATCAATATGATCGAAGTATGGATGAACGAGTATGAATGAGTCGTCTTAGTTTTTAGGAATGTATGCTCATAAATTTTTAGTTAAATAGGGCTCGTGTATCTTTCCTTCTCTATTATTCTAATAATTTTTTTTCTCATCTTACTCTCATCAAATGTAACTTGAGGTTTTTTATTTAAGAATTGTAAAAGTAGAAGATAGTTTATTAGAATCGATACAAGGAGAAAGAGCTAAGAAGAAATGACAATCTTAAAGAAATTGTAATAATTTTTTCTAGGTATTAGACTCACTAGTCTCCTTGTGGCTCAAGGAGAATAATAGTAGAAATTCATTATCATTCATTGGTCCTTGAGTCATGTATGAGATTGATTTGATTGAACTCCTATATATATGATTATGCAATTGATAGTATGCATGATAGGATTAATATGATTGAACTCTAGTATGTATGCTAGGACTAAATTGATAACACCACATCATGTTAAATCCTTCAATTAAATATCAAGTTATATGCCTTCCAACGTTATAAAGAGAAAACTCTTTTAGTTGTTGTTGACTTGTTAAGATAACTCAAGGTCACTTTTTCCTTAAGGAAATCAAATCAAAGGTCATACGATGTCCCTAAATGTTTAGGTCCAACGTGAGATGAATTATTGGACTTGTTAAGATAACTCAAAGCTCATCACATTTATAGGTAAAGATTGGTATTCATATAAAATATGAAATGACAAAGAGTTGTCATGCCAATGAGATTAGAAATTGTATTGGATGCAATTGATAAGGAGTTACCTACCTAATTCTTCATGTATGACTTGTTGAGTTAACTCAATTTTAATGTATATTAGAGGATAGGATTCTAATCTACTAAGGAAAATAAATAAAAAAGTTTTCTCGAATCTTATATTGAAGGTTATAAAAATTAAAGAAAATAATAAGAGTGAACATAGATTTCAACACATACAATCTAGGTTGGAGGGATCATCCAAATTTGAGTTTTGAAGGTAATAGAAAAGGGTAAATATTTGGTCTAAATAAGCAACCTAACCCTATCAACGGCTATAACTCGCTTCACAGAATTTGAAATTATCTTTGGAGAACACAATTGAGTCCCTAACTCTTAACACCAATTAGTTTCAACAAAAGAAAAGGTCTAGCATTCAAAATTTAAAGAATCATGTGAATTAGTTTGTGTCGTCTAGAAGCTTGAGTCGAAGAAAATTTTCCTTTTCAAACGATTGTAAATTTAAGAGAGAATGTGAGTGAAATTACACTCGCAAAGTGTTAAGATATATAAGGAACCAAGTGTTAGTATAGTGCCCAAGATCTAACCATGTCCGGACAATTGAAGTTATTGTATTATTGCATCATTTATTTTATTAATAATATAAAAGTCTTTCTATTAAATTTTATGTCTTACATTTTTTTATTGAATATAATTAGATAGAAGTCCATATGATATGTATTTATATTAGTGATTGATCGAAAGATGTGAGACAACTACTAATATGCATAAATGATATCATTAAATGTCCAAAGTCGTAGCATTATCAAGAATGGACATTGACTAGATGTAGTTAAACTTATGATCTGCTATGTTGATGCTATATGATAGCAGCAAGAGATCTTATACTTATTGACATGATGACACCAAAACAAGCACTTAGGTGATTCATGTTAGAAAATATATAACTAGACTTGACTCACCATGAGAACATATTTGGTTTAGTAGATGGGAATCTCATATGAGATGGGTATAACCGGTCCTTATACTTGAAGTTATTATGGTTATCTCATTAGAGAATTTATATACTTTGACACTAATTTCAATTGACTCAAGCAAAGAGTTACACGTGGGTGATTTGTTGGGTGCACTAACAATCTAATGGAGGTAGGTGGATGACTAAGATAGGACATTCATTCCTTGTATTCTAAAGGAGTTATCACATCGCACTTTAATGAATGTCCGCTCAAGAAATCTGTGGTCACTCGTAGAAATACACTAATAGAGTATAGTTAGTTTACTCTATAAGCTACAACATTTAGGAATCGAAGAAAACTTATATGATTATAATCGAACAAGACTAATAATTAAGTTCGAGATCACACCTGTGATAAGTTGACATAAGGAATGAATTATATAGTAATCATACTCGTGAAAGGTAATTGTAGATTAATTAATCCTTCTAGAGAATTAGGTAGTCATGATGTCTTGCTAGAGGGTAATCTTTATTTATATATCAAGAGATAAAAGAGTATCTTTTATTTTTGATACATTGCTAACATATCTAGGAGCCTATTAAGTTACACATATAAGTTTAAACATTCAAATGATTAAAGAGAAGCAAAGATGTTGAAAAAAAATTCAATTTTGAAAGTTTCCTATTTTGAAAAAAGTTTTCTAAAATGAAAAGTTATCTATTTTAAAATTTAGTTTTCTAATTTGGAAGTTAGTTCCAAATTTGAAAGTAAATAACCTAAAATGAAGATTAGTTTCCTAATTTAGGTTTAAGGGTAATTTGAAAAATAGTTTCCTAATATAGACGCTTTAAAATTATCTAACTTAGTTTATTTGGATAGTACAAATCAATTAATTAAGTCAAAATAGTTTTGGGTTAATAGGTTTAATTAAAAGCCTAAAAGATATTTTGGTGAGAGAATAAACATGAATCTTATTGGATAAGGATGCATATTTTAAAGATAAAGATAAAAAACTCACATGTTAAATAAATCATAATCCTTTGAGGATTAGGAAGCAACAATCATGTGTCTAATTAGGACTAATTGTCGCCCCTCCTTGTCTTGGAGGACAAGGAAACTATCCCCTTATAAATAGGAGGAGAGGTGCGGCAATAAAATAGATCTAACAAGAGAGAAGAAAAAAGGCAAAACGAAAAAAGAAGCTAGGGTACACGACTTAAGTAGAAAATTAAGGAGAAAATAGTTTTCTCCCTTCCTAAAATTAAATACGCCACTTTCCTTCTCTCCTTTGGATTGTTGCAATGTTTTCCTGATTTGATTTCTAAAATAAAACAATAAACAAGTCAAAAAAGGTGGAGCTAGCACTCTATCAATTTTGAGTGCTTCTTGTGTAATACTTGAATCTGCGTGGATTATCGATAGAGGCTAGATACTCGGACAACTCATTTTTACAAAGGTTTAAATCTACGCTACAAGAGATAATTCTTTATTTAAAGCTTTAATTCATGAATATATGGTTAGTTGATTCAACGGAATGATCTTGGACCCTTTAAATGGTGAAAATTTTTGTTTTATTCCGTATCTTCATAGGATGCGTGATCCTCCACCAAGAAGCTTCCAATAAGAAGATATTGCAACTAATGAAAAGGAGGAAATAGAGAAAGAATAGTCTAAAAAAATAAGGTAACCTCTAACTCTTCAATTTATTTTAAAGCTCATCTTCCATCTTTTCCTAAAATGTTAGAAAAGAAAAGAACGAGAGATTTTGGAAGTGTTTTACAACTTTGACGTTAATAAACCTCTACTTAATGCAATCAAACAAGGTTCATGATATGCAAACTTTCTCAAAGAGATGTGCACTAATAAGTGAAAGTTGAGAGGTGATGAAAAGGTGTGTGTGGGAGATAATGTGTTTATAATAATTCAAAATAAACTTTTTGCTAAATGCAAATATCCACGTATGTTCATCATTCCTTGTGAGATAGTAACACTACGTTTAAGAGTTATGCTAGATTTAAGTGCATTTATAAATATTATCCCACTTTTAATTTATGCATATTTAAATTTAAGAGACCGGTAGTATTATACAATTGACAAATTGTTCTAATGCATATACTAAAAGAGTAGTTGAGGATTTTTGGTGCAAGTGGATAATCTGATCTTTCTAGTTGATTTCTACATTTTAAAAATGGAGATGGTAATTCACCAAATCCAGCCACAGGATCCTTTTCTAAAGGCTGCCCAAACCAATATAAATGTTGGTAAAGGAATCCTCACAATAGAGTTTGATGGTAAAGTGATTCAGTTCAATATTTTTTAAGCAACCAGTGGCAGTGGCAATGTAGTTAGAGCAAAAAGCCTACTAGATCGCATTACGATATGAAAATAGATGAACAGAAAGGCAACGAGCCGGCGAAGTTAAAACAAAATGATACTTGGAAGGCAACCTAAAAAATCAGATTTGCTTTTCTATCCCTTGCATTTTTCTTTTATTAGTGAGTTCACAACCATCATCACCCAATTTAAAAATTGTTAACAATGCAAGGTGCTTTACATTTGTGTATCATTTGAGTAAAAAATTCTGTGAAATGTGGCCACAAATAGTAACGATTCACAGCAGAATCTGCGTAAGCTTCATCACTACAAACTACCCTGAAAAAATGGAGAAAGAAAGACACTGCATCATCACTTATAGGCTTGCCACATTTCATATAAGCCAGATCAGTAATCATCAAGTTATGCTTCAAAGGCTGAAGGAATCTTCATACAAGTTTAGGTTGAGTTTGCTCAAAATCAAAAACCTCAAACATGAGGCGCCTCACATCTGGTTTCCCATAGACAGTGTATGAAAGCCCGTGAAGAGCGTGGTTAACAGCAGTTGTGGCAGGATTTCTTAGTCTTCTATTGTGCTCATATGCATCTTGAACCTTGTCAGCATAGATGATGTGTTTATGGAAATGCTTCTCTCTCAAGTACCTTCCACAAAACTTGTTCATGAGAACACGGCGGTGCTTCTCCTGCAGCCACTTTCCAGGAGCATCTAGATGCTTCATCAGTAATCTTTCAGCCATGACAATATCCTACAGGAAAGAAATGAAAACAGAGATTTCTCAAATTGAGGTTACTATTACATATTCTTCTTGCATCTCCGTTCTCCTTTTCTTGAACTTTTTATTCTATGTTGTAGATGTTAAAGCTCACGGCAAAAACATAGTTGCATTCATAGAATAGAAAAGAACCCGTTATTTCATTTTACAAAGACAGGCAATGACCATAGTTGCGTTTGTAAGAGGCAAAACATAGAAGGCATTACCTGGATCTTTTGGCCAATATATTCCAATCGCTCATAGCAAAATCGAGGATGTTCAAATTTGTAGTTTGATGGGTGCAAGAAACAGAGCTGCAATGAAGTGTCAGATGGTCAGGAAACAAGTGAACAGTAAATTTCCTTGTATAACCAAAAAAGAGAACATAAAGCATATCTTCTGAATAATTGGGTGTTTGAGAACTACATGCAGTCGATGCCAGAAGGTAACTTCAGTCGAGCAAATATTTTAACAGTTAAATTAAGCATGACAAGGTCCATGCCAAACACAAATATTCAAAAAAAAAAAAAAAAAAAATAGTTTTGAGTTATGAATGACCTCAATTTGTTATAATAAATGGTGCACCTTTTCCAAGCAAACAATTCACTTTTCATATTTGATTGGGTAAAATAATCAAAAGGAAGTTAGTGTGATTGTGTGAAAAAAGTTTGAGATAGAGTTCCTTGATAAGAGAAGATGAGTGTTCAGAAAGATTCGGAAAGAAAAGTTAATAGAGCATGAGCATTGGTGTGCTACTAGTATATTACTAGAAGTTGGGATTGCTTCTATTGTGTGGAATCTCGAAAAGAAGTACAGACAGAAGTCAAACACTCAAAACTATCACGGCCTCTTTTCTTGAAAATAACGAGCTTTATCTTCAAAATAACAGCCGTTATCGTTATATAACGCCATTGGGCCTTTTTTATGTGAAATGCCGTTACCCTCTCAATAACGGCAAAAAAACAGAAACGGGATTGTCCAAATCCATTAAATAATACCTGTTGTTTAAAACTATGACATGGACATAAACATGAAAATGCAAAGATGCATGTATCACATAAACTCTAATACATTAATTAGCATGCATTTGTGAGATTGTGCACATATAATTTGGCATATAATAAAGAATTACCTGTAACCCAAGTCCAAGTTCAATATTCCTAGCTTCAGTAATGTCTGGAATTCTGTCTCTCATTGCTAAGGGATAGCCCAATGTTCGCATAACATGGGGTCTGCTTTCATAATCCCATATATTTCCTCGGAATCGGTGCATGCCCGGTGGGACACAAGCCCTGAAAAGCCTTGGGTGTGCAAAGAGAGCATCTTCAGGGGGCTGCAGAGGCAATGAACATTAATTAAGGGATTCCTTCCAACATTGATAAAAAGTAATCAGCTCTTATTTTGTTAAGGAAAAAAAAAAGGATAAAACTTACAAATAAAATTAAAATAGAAGATGTGAACTTGCAACCACATGTTCATTTTCACTTTATAAACAGCGGGCAAAGTCACACATGATCCTTTGTCTGACCTCTTTCTGATCCTAAAACAGCTCGTATTTAAATCTATAATGTTTGCTTGATGCAAATGTTATAGTCCATGATTCAGTCAAGCACATGAAAGAATACTGCATTGATATGATATCAAGAACAAGAAGATGATATCTGATAGTGATTATTCTAAATGGTCAGTTTTCAATCAGAATCTGAATGATCATATATGTTTTCTATTTTCCTTTTCCACTTAAAGGTAACGAAATTATTACAAATAATAAAAAGCTTAAACAAAATGAGAGCTTGCCTTATAACCAGCAACATCTTGCCAACTGAGCTGCTTGCCTTCAAATTCAACAGAAACATAGTCTACATCTTCAAATTGCCTCCTTAATTTTGGTTGGCAATCCTCTGCTTCTGGGTCCATCTCAAACACTTCGAAAAGAACACGATATACTTCTGGCATGCCAAAACACAAGTATATTGCCCCAAACAAAGCCCAGAACACAGACCTGCTCAGTGCGCATGGCTATAGAAGGTTAGAAACCACATATTTGCATACACCTATTATAAATAAATTCACACATCATGACCAAAATGCTAATAGTTTCACCTTGACAGGAAGGTAAGGTCTATCCATAAATCAAGCATGGAGATGCTGATAAAGATAAACTTTGTTATATAAAGGAACAGCTTGATTCAAGATGTGGGGAAGCTGATGGAGAAATATAAAGCTACTGAAGACAAGATTTGATTTTTTTTTTTTTTTAATCCAGAAGGCAACGTACAGAGATTTGGAAAAGATACTCTGATTGGCGATAAGCGTCCATCCAACTGTACTGCTGACACTTAACTTACCAAAAGTTTCATATATTTGCTGGGGTATAATCTTTCAACCTGTTAACATATGAATACCAACTTGACAAGAGTATTTCCTAAATAACACTTTCAAACTTTAAAAAACCATATATTTATCATCTACTTTTTGGGAAGCATCATAATGAAATTATTAGCATATTAAAGCAGCTGTCACAAGCTTCATACAAAGCCTTCAGCAACGTGATTTTAAATTGTGGTTATTGTCATGGCCTCACAGTTGTGGTTATGATTGGTGTTCTGAATCGTCCTACAGAAGAGGTGCAGTGATCGCAGAAACAAATTGTTTGACAGTTTCTAGCAAATTGTTTCTAATTCACAATTCTTTTGCAAGACAAAAACAGTTGAAGTTTGTACTAAATTCTTCAAAACAGAGTAAGAGCTTGAATTTAAAGCAAAACTAGGTTGGTCATTTTTATTTTATTTGCACAAAAATATGTATAAAAAAAACAAGTTTACCGTTTCTGTTTCCAAAAATTTGAAAACAAAAACAGTTGAAAGGTAGAAGATCCAAGACAGGTGGCTCCCTGTACAAAACCTTCTAAAGCATGATGGACTATTTATTATGGTTTAAAATAAAGGTTCTTAAGGGCATTACTCATATGAATCTCCAAATCCCATTACATAAGATGGTTTGTGTATGACTGATGGTTGATTTTTAAACCTTGTTCAGCAAGCACATAACTTGGAAAGTATTTGCATGCGTTGATTTTTGATTTCCACAAAACTCCAACTTCAGCTGACGTGTCTTTGTTCCCATCCTCCAGAGTTCAGAGAAAAGTTAAGACAACAGAAACAACCTAGCAAATGAATTCAATTTGTCTGCTTGAGCAAGTCTGCTCTCTGGCCTCAACAAAAGGAGAAGTGATTCACTATCACATAGCATCCTAGTTCACCAACAAATAAACATTAGCAATTGCTTTATATTAGTTGCATCCTATTGTATAAACTGTCAAGCCGGTACCCCATCTCACACTAGATCAAGGAATCACTGACAGAAATCTGTCTTTCCATCAGATAATTCTCAAAACATAATCTTCCTCTCTTTCCTAAAGCCAGACAAGCCCAGATAATGTCATCTTCCATGTATGGAAAAATGGTGCACATTTATATGTGTGTGTTCATGCACCCACTTGTATCAACGATCCATAACCCTCGGATGAAGTTGGGCAACAGTCACAATCTCTTTAAGGATTTTGTATCATTGTATACTAAGGTGTTTCTGAAACAAGCGAACCATCAAAACCAACACATTGGTGCCATGTTTCAGATATCGAATCCAGTCATTTTAACCTACTGTATCATATACTTCACATTAACAGCCAATCCAAAAGTTTTAACATAATCTAGGACTATCAAAAATTATTCTAGAATCAAAATCAATAACAAAGTCACAATATAAATCCTAAAAATTCAAACTATCAACTCATCGTACTCATATTAATGTACAGCTTCAAACTAAACTTTGAAATTCAATTAAATGAAGAGCTTATTAAAAAATCTAAAACAACAACAACAACAAAAAAAGAAAAAGAAAAAAAGCAAACTTACTTAATTGGCGGTTCTCGCTCCTTCCTCAGTAACTTGTCCATATTATCGTAAGGAAAAATCAAATTGTGCAAACTGGCAGCTTTAATCCATTTAGGTAAATTCCTCTTCCCAATCAACCCATAAACTCTTTCCCTCAACGGGGCAGGAGACTCCCTAGGGTATCTCTGCAAGAAATACTCAGCGAAAGCCAATTCCAAAACATACTGCCCCAAGAACAACAATCTTGAATGCCCTGATCTCACATGCCTGACATTAGTCCTTTCGCAACTTGGATGCTGAAATGCTAAATACAATAAAGTATCAAACTGTTTCGCAGGATTATCATCCCCAAATCTATCACTTGGCTCTAAAGGGTAACCTAAAGCTTGCTTGGCTTCTAATAAATACTCATCAATCCAAGTTTTATCAGCATTGTTCAGCCTTGAAGAAGGTAAACAGGAACTCAATAATGGAAATTGTTTGAGGGATAATTGAGGGCTATTCAAAAACCTCTCTGCGAGTCTTTTATCATCAAGTGGGGGTTTAAGAATGAATCTCTTTGGGGGTATTCTTTTCTTTGGGGATGTGATTTTCTTGCGTTCTGCTAGCTCTTTAAGAAGTCTTTGAGGGCTGTTTTTAGGGAGTTCTTGTGGATCTACAGCTACAGCGAAAACACCAAGATTTTGTAGGGTTTTGTGGTGGGGTTTAAGGTATCTGATTTGAAGGGGGAATGGAGAACAAGAAGATGAGAATGAGATATCAGATACTTTTGGTAATTGAGAGAAAGAAGAGGAGAGTTCCATTACTGGTCTGGAAAGTGTTAAAATATAATTTATCTAGGAGAAAATGGTGTTTTTGGGTTTGGACTGAAATTTTTGAGCATCGAAAAGAGGGTCTTTTGGCTAGCAAGATGGATAAGGCATAGTGGTGACTGGCAAGAAGCTAGCAACGTCTCTATCTTTTTTCCACCGGTGATGAGAGAGATATTACAACTTACAAAAATCTCATTGAATGGACAAACGGTTTGTCGTTTCGGTTTATGAGGGATATTTGATGCAAAATTCATTTGCAGAAGAAGGCTAGGCTCTTCACAGATGTTGAGGCAATTAGCACGTTCCAGAGGGCCTAATCTTAATAAGACTAACATAGTAACATGCGGTATTTGGTCCATCTTACTCATTGCATTATTGATGTTAGGCTGTTAGCCCAAAGTCACAACCCAAACCATGTACATAATTTAAGCTAAAGACCTTTTCTTTTTCCCGTTTCATGAAAGTGGTTTTATTGAGAAATTTAACCATTTATTGTTTTTGTTCGGGCAGCAGAAACTCCCTAGTTTTACAAAAACCGGTAATACAATATAGTAAGTCAACTTGTTCTAGCAATTCACTTCATCTCTGTTCTGTTCATGATTCATGGCATTAAATTCTGCATATCAATTCTTATATTGATACTAGCTAGGCTTGCTATGTCGCAGTCACACTATAATTTAGATATTTGGTAAACATGAGGTTGTTAAGGCTTCACAGTCAAAGTAGCATTTTGTGGTCATCATGTAGTCAACAGCAGGGCCAACAAACGTGTTATTTTTCATTAATTTTTGTTTTTTGTTTTTTTTTTTTCTGTTTGAAGAATCAATGCCGCCGAATGCTCACACTTAGAATGCAATTACTGGAATCTCCAAGCATGCTAGAAAATGAAATTGTGAACCCTTCCACTAACTCTAGAGGGAAAGGACACTTGTGTCTTTTTCATCATATAAATTACATCCATGACTATCTATATAGAGGCTTAAGCCATTGCAAAGTCTTCTGATTTCAATTCTTTTAGACTAAAAGGGTCCCAACCAGGTTTAAAAAAATACTATTAACATAGGTTTTACATCCTGCACAACTTTCTTTCTTTTCTACAAATTAGATCAAAATTGCTAAATATATACATAAAAGAGTCTTTTCAAATCAATTAGTCACCTTCCGACTACTAACTCGAGCGTTGGAGGGTCTCTTATCCAACTAGAAGGACTTGTTTTGCAAGTATACAAGTACAAAGATAACTTCATTCACACTTCATGGTCGTTAAACTATCATTACCACTTGTGTGTGCTATGTTTGATAATTTTACTAGACGAGTCAACCCATGACTTATCGATTGGTGCCATCTATGAGAATTTGAGCAAAAAGCTAGTCATTTTCCTTAGATATATATATATATATATATATATATTATGTTGTCCATAGCGCCTCCGTGTTCATGTATGGTAGAACGGATAGAAATTCCTAGTCGTACAACCTCTCAAGATTTTGACAATCCTAACATTTAGCCCGTAAACGTCATCCAGTTGCAACATCATGTCCAAAACCTTACAAAGGCATTCTTAGTAGTAGTTCGAGCACAAATCAAAGTGTTTGCCTCATCGTCTTAAATGCCTTATCATCCTCCACCTTTAGACATTCCGATGCCACCACGTACTACACCTCATACAAAAGGAGTTTTACCTTCTTCTCTCACCAATCGAAGAGGCTCACGCTCACCAAACAAGGCTCATAAAGGGCATATTAGTGCCAAAAATGAGGCATGATTCGATAATTATACGTCTCCGTAACCTTAAGAAGTTATGCACACCACACAAGAAATAAGCCAGTAACTTAGCAGGTCTCTTAGGGAAAAGGAGAAGGAAGAAAGATCTAAACATCACCAATACACCAAAAAAGTACACGGTGCCATCAAAAGACACTAAGAAAAGCATCAACTAGAGCTCTTTCTCATAAAAAAATGTCACATGTAAGCCTCAGAGCTCAAATGACACCACTCAAAAATGAAGCTCGAGGTCTCCTATCGCTCATATATAGGCAACCATAAGCATAAGTTCTAGGTATTACTCTTAGTTTCATGTATCCTTAATATCAAACTTTTTAAAGAATTCATCTCTAACAATATGAATTTAGATACTTTCAAGGTTTCATCGACCTTAGAAAACATGTGCACATATAAGGGGAACCTTCGAGTTGTATTGTATAGGACTAATGCCATATACAAAGTATTTTCCACTATTTTTCAAAGGACTATTAAAAAATGATACAATAGCTCTAGATCATAAGCCCATTTTAAGTTTTCGAGGACCTCGACTCTAAGCTATTAGCATGGTTCTTTATAAGCAACCCTAGTGAAGGATGTTTGGTTGATCTTTTCTACATAACACAACAAGAAAAAGAGAGCACATGAGCGTATCTCTCTCGATTATGTAAAAAATGTTAAAAATGGATAGCCTACTAGCATTGGTAGCCACAGAGGCCCTCATCGAAAGAGTCAATGACATCGATTTTTGAAAAAAATATACAACCTTTTTTACCAACACTAAGTATCGGGTAAAAAAGTTGGTTGAAAGCCATATTAGGGTGAAAGAAGGAATAGCTACCACAAAGATACATCCCTAATTCTAGAGACCAACTAATTGGCCAAGAAAGGAAAAGTCACTATTCTCCAACACAAGTTCGAAAATGAATCTAAAGGGGCCCATACACAATCACCTTATATTTCTTAAACTCTAGACCACTCTTTTGAATGCGACCCAAATAGAAGTATTTGCAACCATTTAGCAAGAGGCATTTGTAAATCACCTCCTACTAATAAAGTGGTCTTCTTCACTGAGGAAATGAAAAAAAAAATACTACCTTTACCACCAAGATCACATACATCAAACCAAAGAATGTTATTCTTTAAAAAAAAAATCTAGAGGATGATAGATAAGGGATATCTCAAAATATTCCTAACGGATGATCCTAATTGCCACAACAATGAACCGAACGCCTTTAAGATGACCCATTAAAAATTACCATTATCATCTTAAAAGAATCCAATCAAAACAGATCCTTATAAGGAGAAGATCAAGGATAAAATGGTCCTCGCCACAACCTAAACTCGTGATGCCATGGCATGAGCTCATAATCTTCACCCTTAAAAACCTTATGAAGATTATCCATCACACTAATGATGCCTTGGTTATCTCTCGTCATCATTCATGGGCACAAAATCCACTATATCTTGATAGATAGTAGGAGTTTAGTGAACATCCTTTCTAAGAAAACTTTTACTTTGATGAGATTGGAAGTTGTCCTAACTTCACCTAACCATTACATTGATAATGGGCATAGACGGGGATAAGTACTTATGAAAGGAATCACACAACTATTTATCAAATTATCACTCTTCATAATAGATCACCATTACTCTAACATTTGCGATTGTGGAAATATGCCGGACATACAATGTCGACTTTAAGAGATCCCTTCGTGGATAAATGACCAACACTACGAGGAAAGTTGTTAGCAATATTCCTAGAAAGACATATGGCCAAATCCTATTGAAAAAGTGCATGACCATATCCTTCTAGGGATGGATGGCCATACCCTAAATAGAACTCTAAGAATGTAACCCCCATAGAGTAGAAAAACAAGTAATTACCTTTAAAAGGTCAAACACTATAGTTTATTACAATATACACTTATCTCTTTCCGTAACCCATAAATAGAAAAAACAACCAAACAAGTGCCATTTCTCACATGGGCTTTGGACCTCTCAAACCCACAAAAGAAAAAATAACCAAATAAATAAATAAAGACCAAGTCTCACATAGGCTTTGGACTCATCAAAGACAAGAAATAGTATTGTCAACTTATTAAGCATGTAAAATAATATTAAAAAAGGAAAAAAATAAATAAAGTAAACATTATTGAATAAAGGTCTCTAGAATTTCATTCATAAAGTAACCATAATATTACATAAAAAGGCTTAAAAACCCAATTGTTACATAATTACAAAAAAAAAAAAAAACTATGTAATTTTATTCCTTATGCTATATCCTCTATAATGATTCCATGATTCCCATTTAACATGCCAAGAAAAAGAAAAGGAAGTGCCAAACAAAGAGTCTCTAATATTATAATGTGGCAATAACTCAAAAAAAAAAAAAAAAGAATCAAATTCCAACCGATGATGGAAGAAAAAACCTTATGATGCTAGGACATTACCTTTTGAAGAAAAGAGAATTGCTATGCCATAAAATAATTCATTGCTAAAGAAGAAGAAGGGGCTTAATTCCTTCCAAACATAAGAGAAAAGCTACCAACGGACTCTAATTAAGCCATCATCTCTAGAGTGGCATCCCTTGTTATAGTGATAACCATAAACTTTTAGGCCACTTATAACACCCCCGACCTAGGACTTAGATAAGTCGAGAGTATTAATGTAGGTGCCTTGAATATAACTTATGTGGATGGTTTGATGTATTATATTATTATATTTTAATATTAATAAAGAAGTCTTTCTATTAATTCTTATTATTTATAATTTGATAAAATTAGATAGAAGTCGATATGATATGTATTGCATTAATGATTAATCAATAGATTTGAGATAAACATTAATGTATTTAAATAATATCATTAAATATCTCAAGTTATAGCATTATTAAGAATGGACATTAACAATATGCAATAAGATTTGTAAGTCCTATACTCTTGATATAAGATAATAGTGGGAGATCTTACACCTATTGGCATGGTTATGCCAAAACAAGAACTCAGGTGAATAATATTAGAAAACATATCACTAGACATGACTCACCATGAGAACCCATTTGGTATTACTCGTGGCAATCTCATATGAGATGGGTACAACTCGGTCCTCCGACTTAAAGTCATCACAATTATCTCATTAGAGGATTGGTGTACTTTGACATTCATTTTGATGGGTTCAATAAAGAATCGCATGTGGACGATTCGTTGGATGCATTAGGAATCTAATG